CAAACCATATCTGATTGACTTACAGAAACAGTTTCTTATAAATAATAAAATAAAATGAATCTATCTTCAAAGAATTTTTCAATGTTGTCAACATTGTATTATTTTTAAGGGCATTCAAAGTGTTCCTCTAGTGATCTTCAGTTTTAATTTATTGTTTTAATAAGTAATAATCAGAATATATTCTAAAACTCAGTGTGACCAATATTTTCCTTTATGATAGATTTTTAAAAGTAATTTAGCTTAATTTTTAAGCATAACAGGGAAAATACTTAAATGATTGAAAAACAACATTTAGCTCACTATTTTATTTCAGAGAATAATGTACTTACGTATGCAAACATGCCATTGGAAACATCCTATATTTCAATTATCTGTTTTGAAGATATGTTAATAGTGAACTATCACAATATTAAAAAGCATAAAAAAATTTAGGTTAGGCTCATTATATTTGAATCAATGCTTTTTAAGATGTTTGACCCCAAATAAAATATTTAGAAAGCCAAATGCAGTAAAGAATATTTAGTAAAGGTGAATGTTATTTTATCAATTTAAATGGCTATTTTTGTTTCATTTTGATGAGTTAAATTATTTCCTAAGTGTTCTTTTAAAGGAATTTTGAAACTTAAGAGGAAAGAAAGGTGCCATTCTAAGCTAATTAACACAATTGAGGATAATAAAAGAGAAAAATCAGTATAATAATAGAATAGCACAGATATTTTTCCTACTCCCAAGTAATTAAATAGTGTTTTATTTGAGGTTTCAAATTTATTTCCTTAGATAATACAAGTATTTCTGAGTCAACTTGAATGTGGACCAAATAAATTCAAAGACATTAAAACAGGATTATTTTGCTAATTAAAGATACACATGATTCTCTTTTACTAGAAACATGCAAGAAAAATTAGAATATAGTTCACATATGAAAGCAAAAACAAAATATGACCTTTAATCATTCACTTTTTGCAGAAATATACAAGTGAAAATTTTTAACATTTTTATATTTAATATTGGTAGAATCTTGGTCATTTCATCTCAAAATGAAGTATCTGGAATTTAGTTTAAGAATATAGTGCCTAAAACAATGCTTCCCAATCCTGGTTTTTGCATACCCTCATCCTCCAATTCTGGAAATAAAAGTCATCTAGAGTTCAATCAAATGTTTGACAAAAGTTTGAAATCTTTTTGCTATAGATGATGCCCTCTTCAAGCAACAAAATATCTATAGTCCAAAATTTCTAAGTTAGCAAAAAAAATTTACTAAATGAATGTCTGTGTGTGCTTGTGTGTGTGTGTGTAATTCACCATATGAGAAGGCTCATAATTATATATTATAGACCAGAAAAGAAGCTAGACCACTGGGCAACTGAGTAGTTCAAATGCTGCATGAGTTCAGAGTTCTTTCCAGTCTCAAGATTTTCTTCATTCCAAAACAGAAGATGATAGAACTGTATCCCTAAGTACACTCACTCTTTATTCCAAGCTACATCATGGTCATTGTATGAGGTAATTCATACTGTATTATAATCCAGGAAACTTTAGAATCAGATATTACCAGGCTATTTCCTTCAATCTCAGCAAAGCATTAATGAAGTCAAGGAACTATTTCAAGTTAAGTGGTAGCATCTTCTTTCTGAATCTATTCTTAAAGTCTTAGTTTTTGCTATGGTTAGTTACAGCTCTCTAGTGTGATGGCCTTGGATTTTTTTTTTTGACATCTTCCTCCACTCTACCCTCACATAGATACTCATGTAAATGTTCTATTTCCCTTTTTGAGACTTGAAATTGATTTAATACCTTAGTCAGCTTTCCTTTCCAAAATAGCCCTTATCAACCTTCAAAGTTTTATTACTCTAGGATTAAAAAAGGTCATGATTATAGGATAAAGAGCAGCCAAAGAAGAGAGATCACCCTTTCAGGTGGAGAACATAGTTATTTACGAATATTCTATAATTGTACATCTCTGAAAAAAGTAATAATATTTCTAGGCAGGATTTCATTGTCTCTATACAATTTCTAACCACGGGCATGATTTTTACTTTCAGTCTGTGACTATATAGTAGTTTATTCAGTTAAAAACCAAGAAAAATCTCAACATATAGGTAATTTGTTTTATTTTAATAACAAATGTAAGTTTGGAATACATTTGGAAGATGACAATGGAGATAAAACAAACAAGTGGTGATATAAAGTTAAGAGTTCTGGGAAGATTGGGTATGATTTGACCAGAAGAAACAAGAAAGATCATAGCAATCAATGACTTCATTCCCTCCCTTCTTCTGGCCCTCTCTTTTCTTTCTCCTCCCTTCTCTTTCTACCTTTCTTCTTTCTTTTTTCATGCCTGATGCACTCCTTATACTAATTCAGAAAATAGAAAAGTTATTTTCAAAGTATTTCTTTGTGTGAGAAAATTATAAGGAATAAAACAGAAAGAAATAGGAATATTTATGGAAGTAATAGAAAAAAATGTGAATAGGGAAGAATTTCTTAAATTACCTTTAAAAGGAATGTTTATTAGTTAAAATGTACAATATGGCCCAATTACTAGTAAAATATACAAAATGGTTTGCTTAAAAGTAAAAAAAAAAAAAAAATCAAAAATTTGCATTCCTTAAAAAGTCTAAATCAACAAGAGTTAAAGTAAATTTAATGGAGTTTCACAAAACTTAAAAGAGGGCAATTCTAGTATGGTTTTTGAAACCAACACATGAAATTGCTTCAGAACATGAATGAAATTTTCTGTGTATCACTTCTTCAACATTTTCTTATTAAGCACCAACTTAAGACTGAACAATGAGTAAGGTCAAAAGATTTAAAGGAATGAGTTTGCTTCCTAAACACTATTATCATTTCTATTCAACTTTTCCAATCTTTTTGTTTTGTTTTGTTTTTATTGTAGCACCCACAATAACTTATTTTTCAACTTAATTTGATTTTTAGGTCTTATGTATATTTTATTTTTTAATGAAAATATGTATTGTTGTCACAAGGGGCTTTTGTGGGTTTTTATTTAGGATTTCTTTTGGTTTGTTATTTCTCTCTAGTCAAACTTCTTGTCCTTACAGTTGCATAATAATATTTCCGTATTCGGGTCCAAAGTCCAATTATATTTCCAAATATTATTCCTAAATTGTTAAATTAGCAAATTAGAACATGCCATCCAAAATCCTATTATATATTTCATATTGGAAATGTAACTCTCCAAAATAATTATCAAAATTTCTACTTTTTACATCAACACTCTTCCTATTTTCAAGTAATTTTTGAATTAATAAAAATACTGTAATTGAAGCAAATATTAACATGAAGGGGTTAGGACATTCTTTTTCCCTATTCTTTTTCTGGTCTTAGAGCTGAAAATATCTTTAGAAATAACATGGCATAATGGAGATTTTGGTGAATTCCATATAGCTATAAAACGATTTAATAAGTCATTTTCTCATGAGCTGAATTATTATCTCCTATAAAACTCTGAAAAAATGTTACTGGAAAGAAACTAATTTAATTTTTCTGCAATTAGTTTTCAAGTATATCTATCACTTTTAAGAAATTATTATTTATGACAATATCACCACAATTATTTCAGTTATTTTATTAGAAACTAATTTAATTTTTCTGCAATTAGTTTTCAAGTATATCTATCACTTTTAAGAAATTATTATTTATGACAATATCACCACACTTATTTCAGTTATTTTATTACCTTAATATATCACATAACCTCTAACACATGTATGCTAGTGATGAACATATGGCCTTGAAACAGAATCAAGGCCTGATATTCAAACTTAGGCCCCGATTGCTTCTAAATGCTTATAAACATAAATCATCCCAGTCATCTATAAAACAAATGGAAATAATTCAGATACTTAGTGCAAAAGACTTATCAATTTCTGTCACCTTAAATAGCATAATGAGCCATATGCTAAGTGAAAAGTTTGTATAAAAATTGTGACTGTAAGTCTATTTATGTGCCAATAGTTTCATGTTACTTATACTGAATATGACAAGTATTTGTGTATAGGATAGCAGAAACAGAAAAAAGTAAAATTAAGAGGGCATGTCCTTTAATCATTTATTATTTGTGTAATAATAATTATCACAGGCCAGACGCAGTGGCTTATGACTGCAATACCAGACCTTTCTGAGGTCGAGCAGGAGGATCACCTGAGGTCAGAAGTTCAAGGCCAGCCTGGCCAATATGGTGAAACTCCGTCTCTATACTAAAAATACAAACATTAGCTGAGCATGGTGGTGCATGCTTGTAGTCTCAGCTACTCAGGAGGCATAGGAAGGAAAATAGCTTGAACCCAGGGGGCAGAGGTTGCAGTGAGCCAGGACTGTTCCGCTGCTCTCCAGCCTAGGCAACAAAGTGAGACTGTTTCAAAATAAATAAATAAATAAATAAATAAATAATAAAAATAATAATTATCACAATAATTCTGGAAGTTATGTTTGAATAGTTTTTAAAAGCTTTGAAAATACTCCAATACATGTATTCAAACTCTTAAGGCTCTATATTAAGAAAATAATTATAAATGTAGTTAAATATTTGTGTAAATAAAAATTTATCAAAATGTCATTCCACATAAAGAGAAAGTACTCTATCCACGTGAAAAAATTATTAAATAAATTGCATATATATATATATATATACACATATATAGTAGAATATGATATAGAGTAATTTTCTCAGACTATTGACTGCCATGGCAGAATTGCTCTAGTGATGCTGTTTGTAAAAATTCCATCACTAATAAACTTTTTCTATGAAACGTCTGCAACTTAAAATGGACTCTCTGGCATCTCATGTTAGTTCAAGGATTAGAGCTAGAGAATCTATGATACAAAAAATATCTCCTTCAATTGAACAGTGTTTCCTTTCTAATGATACAGTGAGGAGACTGGTACAGTATGTACTTTAAATAAACATTTGCCCACTAGAAAGTAAGCTTTAATTGGGAAAATAATGTTGCTAGGTATGGATAAGAATAAATCTATGAGTGCTCACTATGGCAGCACATATACTAAAATCAGAACGATAAAGAGATTAGCATGGCCCCTGCACAAGGATGACACACAAATTCATGAAGTGTTCTATATTTTTTAAACCTTAAGAGTTTCTGCACAGCAAAAGAAACAATAATTAAAGTGAATCGGCAATTGAATGGGAAAAAAAATCTTTGCAATCTGCCCATCTGACAAAAAGTTAATATCCAGAGTCTACAAAGAACTAAAGCAGATTTACAAGAAAAAACAAACAAACCCATTCAAAAGTGGGCAAAGGATATGAACAGATACTTTTCAAAAAAAGACATATATGAGGCCAAGAAACATATGAAAAAAAATGCTCATCATCACATGGTCATTAGAGAAATGCAAATCAAAACCACATTGAGGTATCATCTCACACCAGTTAGAATAGTGATCATTAAAAAAATCAGGAGAAAACAGATGTGCAAGAGGATGTGGAGAAAAAGGAATAGTTACACACTGTTGGTGGGAGTGTACATTAGTTCAACCGCTGTGAAAGACAGTGTGGCGATATCTCAAGGATCTAGAAATAGAAATTCCATTTGACCCAGCAATCTCATTACTGGGTATATACCTAAAAGAATATAAATCGTTCTATCATAAAGACATGCACATGCATGTTCATTGCAGCACTGTTTACAATAGTAAAGACATGGAACCAACCCAAATGTCCATCAATGATAGAGTAGACGAAGAAAATGTGGCACATATACACTATGGAATACTATGCAGCCATAAAAAACGATGAGTTTATGTCCTTTGTAGGGACATGGATGAAACTGTAAACCATCATTCTCAGCAAACTGACACAAGAACAGAAAACCAAATACCGCATCTTCTCACTCATAGATGGGTGTTGAACAATGAGAACACATGAACTCAGGGAGGGAAACATTACACATTGGGGTTGGTGTGGGTGGGGGGGCTAAGGGAGGGACAGCAGGGGTTGAGGAGGCTGGGAGGGATAACGTGGAAAGAAATGCCAGTTATAGGTGATGGGGAGACGGAGGAAGCAAACAACCTTGCCAAGTGTGTACCTATGCAACAATCCTGCATGATCAGTACATGTACCCCAGAACCTAAAGTACAATAAAAAAATAAAAGAATAAATCTAGGAACACAATATAAAGAACTGAGCAATCTTAGATGACAGCAATCAACAGAAACAACAGACACACTGGAATGAGTGAGCTGATCAAAGAGAAAAGTCCACAGTGAACCCTGGCAATCATTCTGGCCCACTGAAAGTTGAGGGACCACATTTTATAGCATTTCTGTGCTCACAACATTGGATGGTCAGTTACACAATTCGGTGGGCTCACATAAGCTGAGTGGTTCCATGTACCTTCTTCCCTTGATGTTCAAACACCACTTGTTAGCAACTTTCTGGCATAGAAATCTTCTGTTCTCTCTACCTACTACTTTACTAACTCAATGCAGAAATATTAGCTTACCTGAATATTTTACTGCTTAATGAGACTATTCAGGTTTCAATGTTTTCCCCGAATAGTCTGTAAAGGGATGGAAACATTATAGTGGTTTATTTACTCACATAAATTTTGCCATTTATCTTTCCTTTACCCTATGAAGGCATCAAGCTTACAATTACATTCAGTCTTAAAAAAAATTTTAAAAAAGACTACTAATTAGCCTAATAGCAGTCTTAGCTACTTCATTCTAAGGTAGTGAGAAGTCTATTAGAAATAACTGCAGAAGGCTGGGTGCAGTGGCTCATGCTGGTAATCCCAGCACTTTGAGAGGCCGAGGTGGGTGATTCGCCTGAAGTCGGGAGTTCAAGACTAGCCAGGCCAACATGGTGAAACCCTGTCTCTACTAAAAATACAAAAAAATTAGCAGGAAGTGGTGGTGGTGGGCACCATAATCCCAGCTACTAGGGAGGCTGAGGCAGGAGAATCGCTTGAACTTGGGAGGTGGATGATGAAGTGAGCGAAGATGATGCCACTAGGTGATGCAGCCTGGGTGACAGAGCGAGATTCCATTAAAAAAAAAGAAAAAAAGAAATAACTGCCTAAAATTAATAAATTAATAAAGGGTATGCATGACATTTGTCAATTCCGGTCCAAACCTTTGGTTTCTAGAAAAATGCCCAGTATAGAACTCTGCATCCATGTCAAGAAAAAAGTATAATAATTAAACAAGTACAAGTTATGCAGTATGTGAAATGTGCAAATATCATTCACCTGAAGAGGTACAGCATTTTTACAATCATTTTTCTTAACTTTGGTTTATCCAATATACTCGGCATTTAAAAAGCAAGTGGTTGGTAGAAGAATGTTATGCTCTGCAAAATGTTGCATAATATAGTTTTGAACACAAACAAAAAATCTGTTAAGCCTCAAAAAGTTAATGTGTAAATAGTGACATATTACAGAACTTTCGAATGGATAGGCCTGTACAAAGGCCTATCACTGACTTATTCAAATAAGGCAGATTTGTCCTCCAGTGGTTGAATGTCATCCCCCCGTTATGCATATAGTTGAGAGTAAGACATAAAAATTAGGAACTAAGAGTTTCTGTTACTTAGCACAGACTTTGTCATATTTTCCTTATTTCCTATTATTGATTGTCACTGATGGTATAACTCTATTCACTTGGGAAATCTCTCACCCTAGACACATATGGAAAGTTTAACAAGTTAGGACAGGTGGGCATTTGAAGTAGCACTACTGGGAGTTCAGACCTTGACTTCATATCTGATGCAAGTGCTCAGTCCCTTGGTACCTCTTCCCATGTCCATCGGTTTGAGTGACAGTTTTTCTCCACACAGAGAAAGATGAATTTTACACTCTATAGAAATGGGAAAACAAGTCCCACTGTTCTTGAACAGGTACACAACTTCCTAACACTGTTGCTAATTGAATGTTTGCATGTGCACTTTACTTCCAACCAAAGAAAGAAGCATTAGCTAAGAATCATTTTTGAAAGTTAGGTTTTTATTTGTTTGTTAATTATTATTATTTTAATCTCTGAATACAGAATTACATTTAATTTGCTGTCACTATCATTTTATTGATTTGCTTATGAGTACACGTTATATTAATGGAATATATAGTATGTCAACATTTGTATGAAAATCTGTTTATAAAAGATCATTTTTATCTATTGAACCTCAGCATTTGCAGGTTTCCTCTTTAATTAATACTTTTGGCTACAGTTTTCAAGTGATTATTAGGCATTTCATTTCAAAGGCATTTAAAAATTTGTGACAATTTCATCATTTTAATAAGATTTTAATAATCTGTTTTATTACATGTAATGTTACAGTAGCTTATATAGTAAGTTACTATGTATTTGTTGAGGCTTATAAGTGACTGATGTGGTATTTAGAAACTAACACAGGAAAAACCATTCCAAGTCAGTTCACTTACATAATTATAATTTAAATCCAATTTACTTACTATTCCTTAGTTTATAATAAAATTTTAAGCAAATTTTGCATATGAACCATTATTTGTATTTTAATTTGAAATAGACGAAGTAACTACTAACATTCAATTTTAGACAGAAATATTAATAAATGAAGAAATGACACTAGCAACCTGGATTCTAAAATATCAGTAGATATTCGGCCAAAATTTCTGGAAATCATGCTAAAGAAAAAAAGAAAGGTCAGAAGAAAGTATGTACTTAGCATCAAAACTGAGGTGCCTTTACAAATCCTGTCACATTTCCCTCATCAGACTGGTATGTGACAAATTAAACAAGAAATTGCTTCCATGAACTCAGAAATCTTTTGTTTTTTGTTCACTTCTGTATCACCAGAAATTACTAGAATTTGTAGCACTTAGTTATCCTCTATATTTTCCGAATAAGTAAATACAAATTAATTCTAAATAATTTCAGTGCATGAAAATGAGCTACTTCTTGGGATACCTCTATCCACATGTCAGTATGCCTATATCAACATTGAATCTATCTCTATCTAATCACCACACCCTCCCAAATGTGTAATTCAAGTTCTGGCAGATTATTTACTGAGTTTCTTACATAACACCTTCCCAATTATACTCCACCCTCCTCCCTAGCTTTTTTTTTGGGGGGGGTGATATATACATACTACACATAACAGTAGGCTTTTCTACTTCCAAATTTCTTCCTATAGTTTTGTGCTAAAAAAAAAAAAAAAAATGCTGGTTATGGTTTTCCCGTCTTCGTTTCCTTCTATGGAAAGATCAGTAACAAGCACTGTGGGTGGAGGAAAAGGATATAGGACAGGCGCTCTCAGGAAGCCAGGGTGTCATGGGCCTGGACAGTCCCAGTCACTAGAGGGTCATACACAGTCAGAAAACTGCTTCAACTGCACATGCTCTAAACGGTCTGAGCCACTAATACATGAGAAATGTCGAATGTTAGCAGTAATCAATTCATCCTAGAACAGAGTTCTAAAGGTTGAATAATGTTCAGTCCGTTTTCAAAAGAGAAAAAGTTCCTTTCAGCATTTACTTAAAACTTTAAAAATGTTTAAGGGCTCATTAAAACATGCAAATATAAACTTAAAAATAAAATTACTAGGTTATAGCTGCTATCGCTACAAAAAACAAACAATTTTATAGAATTAATACAAACAAACCTACAGAGCCAATAAAATTCAAATTAACAATATTAATTAATGTGACAATTCATGTTTTTTTGGACACTGAAATGATACTTTAAATTGTTCTCTGACATTACATAGGAAATTTTTGAGTTTAACACAAAGTAAAGATTCAAGCATCTTGCAGTTATTCTGTATTGAAAAGTCTATGAAACTTTTATTTAATCAATGAGACTTACTTTCATTTGGGTTTCACTTGGTTTTGCATCATTTACAAATTTTCTGGCTCCATTACTTTACCTTTACTCTGAATAAATAATATTTAAATTAACTGAATCTGAATAAAATGTTACTTGGAAACAAAGCAAGATGAGATCTAAAGAAACTGCATATTCTTCCAGTACTCAGATATAGAATATATTAATTTTTAGATATTTGCGGAAGTTAAAATATAAATTGCAGTCACTCCAGTGAAGATCTTTAGTGGTTGAAGACTATGTCCAGAAAACCCATTTTAA